GGGATTTCCAGGGGAGATAGACACAGCTCTGGAGAGCAGGTGGGATTTCCAGGGGAGATGGACACAGCTCTGGAGAGCAGGTGGGATTTCCTGGGAAGGGTGGACAGGGCTCTGGAGAGCAGGTGGGATTTCCAGGGGAGATGGACACGGCTCTGGAGAGCAGGTGGGATTTCCTGGGAAGGCAGGGAGGGCTGGGAGCGAGGGGACAGTTGGCACTCGTGGGGCTGCTGTGAAGCTCTAGAGTGACCTGGGGCTGTGAACGTGACCTGGGGGCTCTCAGGTCTCTGCTGTGCTGGTGGCACAGCCAGAACACGTGAGACTGTGCCAGTGTTGGTGCCCCTGACAGCACAGGCTCACGCAGAGCTCACCCCATCCCGTGGGCAGGGACACCTTCCACGGGGCAGGTGCTCCCAGCCCTGTCCCATTTCTGGAGATGAAGGTTCTCCATACAGAGAAACAGTCTCCGTATTTCCTTCCGCAGTATTTTCTGGCTCACCTGCAGCACCTGGGCTGCTTTTCCTTTAGCCAGGGGTAAAATACTGGAGGTTTCTGGTTTACTTGGAGGGTTCGGATTTATCTGTAGTTCTGTGTATTTTTAGTGACGTAAATATCTCTTGGCATTTGCAATACCTTGAGCCCGTGGAAGTGATTTATTTCAAGTGTCTTGTTTCAGGGGAGCTCAGAGCAGCTCAGTGTTTGCAGGAACATTTATCTGCTCCGAATGGATGAGCTGCTTCCGAACAGAAACTCCCTGAAAAGAACCTCCTTCTCCTACTGCAAATCTCTGAGTTTTGCTTAGGAGAAAACACTCAGAGCTTTATCAAATTATGGGTGTTTTTCCCCAGCTCCCCTCGCAATGCCAAGGTTGCCAGAGCTGTCAGGGGGTTGTGTGCGCTGAGTTTCAGCCTTGGACTGTCTCTGAAGCAATAAAGGCTGGATTTAAGTCATGTTGTTCTCTGCTCCAAAGAGGTGTTATGACAAATCCGCTTGCTTTCGGCTTTTCTCCTTATTTCCAAGGAAGGGAGGAGGGGGAGAAAGCCACACAAAACAAACCACAACAAACCTGCAGCTCTTGAGGCAGAAAATCCTCTTTAAAAACTGCCACAACTTAACAAAGTGCCAAATGCTTTTATTAACTGCTGGAAAGGCTCTGAAGAGCTGCTCTCTTCCCGGCTGGAAAGCTCTCTGCTCAGGGCCTGGCTTTGTTCCTCTGCGCAGCTAATTGCAGAGTAGGAATTCCTCTCCAAAGAACAGAATAATGGGGAAAAAACCCACCTTGGGGGAGATAATGGAGCTGGTGGGTTTGGAGGTAGGAGTGGTTCTTCCAACCTTCTCTGCCTTCAGCCCACTCCATCTCACCTCTCCAGGTGGGAACAAAACACCTGAGCCAGGCACTGTTTGCTCGGGGCTAGTCACAGCAGGAGGGTGAAGGGAGATCCACAGAACACCCTGAGGTGGAGGGACCCACAGGGATCATCGAGTCTAACACCCGTGGGGGTGGCAGAGGTGGTGCTGCTCACTGGCAGCACATCCTGGAGGCTTTCCTGGAGAGGAGCCCCTTGACATGGATCAGACATGGATGTATTTCTGGGTGCAGAGAGCTTGGAGAGCTGGTGCTTGGCTGCAAACCCTCTGGGTGCTGGTGGCACATCCCCATCCCTGTGTGTGTTAGCACAGGGAGCAAACACTCCTGCTACTGCTCTGCTGTTGGGTGACAGGGAGTGAATGTCCCAAACTGAGGCTTCTTCAGCAGGGCCAGGAGCTGTTGCTCACAGGGCAAAGGACTATCTGGGGCAGGAGCTCGTGGGGGCTTTAGCCATAACCCTCCTGTGCAGGGCAGGTCCAAGCTCAGGAAGAAGTGAGACCATCACTGACAGGTCTCAGGCAGCAAACCAGAGCTGTCAGTGATGGTTTCACAGTGAGGGGTGTCATGAGCACAGTATTCATTACCTGGCCTGGGCCAAGGAATGCTCTGATGCAGTCACTGTGGTGAGGCCACTGCTTTAACCTGATAGCTCTTCTCGATCCTTCCCCTCTGCTCTTTTGCACCCAACAGGTCCCAGTGAGTCTTTTCTGGACTCTGCTTCAGGCTGGGGCTCCCTGCCAGTCTGGGCACGACAGATCTCCTCCCTCCTCAGCTGCAGCCTCACTGCTCAGCCCTGGCTGTGCCTTGCCCCCTTCTCACGCTCCCCGATTCCCTGTTTTGCAGATTCCGCTGGTGAAAACTCAGAGTGGATTTAGCACCCAGAGTGGGTGACAAGTGGCACAGCTCAGCATGTCCCAGGCTCTGCTGCCCACCCTCCCGTGCTGCTCCTGAAGGGGCTGGAGCCTCCCCCTGCCTCCTGCCCAGCACCATGGTGGGGCAGAGCCCCCTGGGCCCCGGCGAGGGCAGGGCCAGTGTCCTCCTGGAGCCCTTCGTGCACCAGGTGGGAGGCCACACCAGCATGCTGAAGTACGATGAGCACACGGTCTGCAAGCCCCTGGTGTCGCAGGAGCTGAGCTTCTACGAGTCGCTGCCACTGGCCATGAGGCAATTTACGCCCCAGTACAAAGGTAAGGGAGACCACTCACCCCTGGAAACCAGAGCCAGGGCAGAGCTCCTCTCTGCCCCTCTGCTTGGTGCCCCCACTGCCAGACCCACCCCACACATCCCTTTCTCCCCAGCTCTCCCTTTCCCGGCTGAATTTCTCAGCTCAGCCACAGAAAAGCAGCACTGGGTGCCTGGGAGGAGAACACCAGTAGTTTTTAAGACATCCTCCCTCCCTCTCTTTCTTATTCCCTGAGTATTTCTGCTTTTACTGCCAGGCTGGTGCTGCTCATAAAGCTCCTGACCCTGGCTCCTGGGGGAGGTGAGGAGCTCAGCTGTCACGTAAAAACTGAAAATATCTCTTGGTCCTTCGGTGTTAGAGAAAAGAGCTCAGTCAGCCACGGCCCCAGTGTGCCTCCAGCCCAATCTCCCTCGCCCAGAGAGTCAGGGGCCTCTGCAGATTTATGGAGCTGTATTAAAATGATGCTCAAGGGAGAAAACAAGTTTCCTGTGAGCGATTTCCTCTGGCAGGGGCTGGTTTAGGCTGCAGCACTGGGACCTGCTCAGGTGAAGCTTCTTAAACAGTCCCCACTTACCAGGCCAGGGAGGCCTGGTTATTAAAACATTTTTTTATCTTCTTTTTGTCTCCTATTGCATATCCCAGAGAGGAAACTGAACAGCAGTTCTCCTCCAGGCTGGCACTGGACACATGTGATTTCTCTGCTCCTGACTATCCCTGCCTTGCTGCCAGGGAACCAGAGAGGTGGGACACCTTCCCACGAGGGGGATGAGCATCCTGAGAGCTCCATCACCCACTCACACAGGTCCAGGCTCCTCCTCTCTGTTCCTTGGCTGCAGGGAATGGTGACATTCTGAGCCATGGGGACCAAATGTCATCATTCAGGTTTCACCCCGAGCCTGTGGCTCTCCCAGCGCTCACCTCAGCGTGTCAGGCAGGTTGTGACCTTGGGACCAGCATTCCCAGCCCCTTGCAAGCCCCTGCTGAGCTCACAGGGGGATGCTGGGCTTGTTTTCCAGCCTGGTTCTGCTCAGGTTCCCATGGGTGGTACATGAATGTGCTTGCAAATGTAAAAATAAACCGGTGAGGGCAGAGACACATAGTGAAGGACTCCTGAGAATCACTGGGATGCCACCAGCGTGGTGACAGCACCCGTAAATACCCCCTGGCTGCAGCAGGAGGGATTGGGGTGTCAGTGACATTACAGACCAGCACCCCAATGCACCTTTGCCCCCAGGGAGATGTTTTCTTGCTGCAGTAAAGGAGAAGGTCTGTTGCCAAGTGCCAGGGACTTGTTTGCCACACGTAGGTCACTGCAGGGCATGTGCAAACCCAGATGGAATCACACCAGGAAATAAGCATTTTTCAGGCTGAGGTGTAGGTTTCTGAAGGCCAAATTTTGAGCTGGGAGGAGGGAGAGGAGCTCATTCCCTCATTTTCACCTTTGAAAATCTGCTTATTGCCTTTCACACCAGTGGAAGAGCCTTACCAACCCCTGAGTCCCTGGTTTCGTGCCACCCCTGAGCTGCCAGTGCTGTGTACCCCAGCAGAGCCCTGCTGAGTGCTGGCAGGACTGGGGCAGCACTGGCTGCAGGGGCAGTGCCCGTGGGCTCCAGGACTCCATCCCCTGGCAGGGACGTGCTGAAAGGAAAAAGCCTTTGCTTTAGGCAAAAGGCACTTCGGCTTTTTTCCCTGCCTACGTGCGGGTTTCGTGCCACCCCTGAGCTGCCAGTGCTGTGTACCCCAGCAGAGCCCTGCTGAGTGCTGGCAGGACTGGGGCAGCACTGGCTGCAGGGGCAGTGCCCGTGGGCTCCAGGACTCCATCCCCTGGCAGGGACGTGCTGAAAGGAAAAAGCCTTTGCTTTAGGCAAAAGGCACTTCGGCTTTTTTCCCTGCCTACGTGCGAATTGGAAAGCCTTTGCTTTAGGCAAAAGGCACTTCAGCTTTTTTCTCTGCCTACGTGCACTGAAAATTGGAAGCAGGACTCAGGGCTGAGAGGAGATTTGTTTGCTCTCAGTAATATGGATTTTAGACGAACAGGACTCAGGGTAATGCTGAGCCTGAGGAAGGCAGAGCTCCCTGTGCTCACTGTGAGCAAAGGGTTGGCAGGGCTAAAAATATGACTTGCCCCTAATTAAAGTTTCCAGCCCCTCAGCTCCCCTGGCAGAGCAGCCTGTGTGTGTTCCTCCCCCATTTCAGTGCAAAGTCAGCCCATTCAGCCCTGTCTGTTCGCACGGATGCCATTGCACAGCAAAAGGGAGCAGGAGTGGCTGTGGTGGGTGAGCAGGAGGGAAGTGCATCCAGACGGAGCTGCAGGACCTGGGGAGGGATGGACACACCACCCCATGGGGGTGGCTGCAGGGACACAGGGAAATCTCCCTCAGGCAGCAGAGCCTGACAGGCACGGAGAGAGCAAAGCCTTCTGTCTGTGTTTGCTCACTTTAATCTCCCTTTAAATGGAGAGAAGGGATTTTGCATGTTTATTTGCCTTGGCACCCTTGCTGGGGAGAACAGAGCTCCCTTGTTTGTTAAGCTGCTGAGATGCATCTCCTGCATGCCCAGCAGACCTGGTGCAGATACCCTGGGCACAGCTGGATCAAGCCCAGCTCCACATGTCACCACCAGGGCCCTTCCCAGTGACAGTTTTGCTGGTCCCAGAGCCTTCCCTGTCCTTTGGCACTGCAGTGGTGCTGCAGCCTGGGAAGCTGCAGGGTCCATCTCATGGGACTGGCTGGTCTAAGCTGCCCCCGTGCCTGGGGAGGCTCAGCCAGCCCCGGGGGAGCTGTGGGAGCAGGATGGTGCTGCCAGCCCTTCCCAGAAAGGTCAGGGCTGGCCGGAGCGAGCGGAATGACCATTCCTGCGCTGTCACCCGAGCCCAGGGGCAGCAGCTCCCCATGCCAGGGCTGGGCTAAATCCGTGCTGGGCTGGCATTTGAGCCCTGTGATTCCTGTCAGAGTCAGGGGAAATTGCAATGCTGAAATACATGATTGAAGCATTTGGGGTGGAAAAATCCACCCTCCGGTCGCGGTCATGTTCCCCTCGTGCACGACACCAGACCTGTGACAGCCTGTGCCCTCCCTCCTGGGGTGTTTGGGTGCTGGTCCTTGGTGCCTGGGGAAGGACATGACCATCACACTGTGTGGGCAGTGCTGCCAGCCCATGCCCACGTCTCTGTCCCACTCCCAGGGACTCTCCAATTAAAGGAAGCACTTGGCACACTGAGTGTCTTAGGAAAATTCCTTGTCCCCAACCCTCCCTTTGCTTCCTGCCAATGAAAAGCATTCCCAGCCTCATCCTGTCTTAAAAAACCTACCTAAATCCCTTGTGATAAATAAGCCATTGACTTTATGGGGTCACCTGGGGCACAGCAGAGCTCAGAGGGGTGAGGGACAAAGGAATGTGGTGCTCAGAAGAGGAAGGTTTCAAGCTGAGCCTTACAAGGAGGAGCATTAGAAAACCCTGAGGCTGTTTTCCAGGGTCTCAGGCTACTGGTGTTTATTTGGCCTGAAATCAGAGCGGGATCAAGGTGAGAGGCCACCAAAAGGTGAGGAGGCAACTGTCCTGGGACATCAGGCCACCTTGGTGAGGTGGAGGCCAAACCTCTGTGACAACCCATGGGTTAATCTCCTCCTCATTTGTTCTGTGCAGGCATCGTTTCAGTGCACCTCAGGAAGGACAGTCTGGGCAACCCGACGCTGATCGCCAGCCCTGGGCTGCAGCAGGAGAGCTGTGCCCACCGGGACCAGGCCGTGGGTGACCCCGCAGTGACCATCTGGCACACCAGCCAGCGCCGGCGGCGAGCGCACGCTCGTCACCTGGAGCCACACGCAGGTCACCAAGACCTTCAAGGACAGGTTGGGACACCTCCTGGTGCTCATCTGCCCCTTGGGTGGGATGGGTTTGGTCACCCAACTTGGGCTTTAAGGCAAAGCGGCAAATGACTCCCCCAGGAGAACAAATCTCCTCATCGCTGCCTCCCTCCCCTTCTTCCTCGGAGCCCCTCTAAACTGGGACTCAGTCCCACCGTTGGACCATTTGCCTGTGCTGTGCCTGTTAGGTGGATAATAGAGATCCTGGTCACTGGGGCTGTGAAAGGCTTTTCTCGGGAGCCAACACACTTTAAATTCTAATGAGAGAAAATATTGGCAGGCACAAGAGCTGCCTTGCTGAAAATTACTGTTCTGGAGTAACAAAGGAACTCTGCAGGTTGGACATGATCAATATGTTTCCTTTGAGAGTCCCTGAAAATTCACCTTATCAAGTTTGAGGCTCTATGAAAAAAAAGAAAAAACAGGGAAAGGGAATATTCTCCTCTGGAGCTTATAAACCCAATGTGTTTCTTTGTGTGTTTTGTCTAGCTGCCCAGGGAAGATGCTATTGAGGACAGACCTTCAGTACCACACAGATTCCCTTCTGGAAGATGCAAATGGAAACCAGGCAGAAAGAAAGAGCTACAACCCCTGGGGACTGCACTGTCACAGGCAGCACCTGCACCGCATGTCCTCCAAGCACAACGAGAACAAACTGCATCGTATCCTTTCTCCTCTCTCCCCTCCAGCACAGGCTTGGCTGCAAATAACCCCTCAGAATCAATCTGTGGCTTATTGTGAGGGGACACATCCCTCCCCTGCCCAGAAAACACTGAGTATTTTCTGCTATCTTCTCCCACTGTTTAAAGAAAGTAAGGAGAAGCAAAAACCCAGTTCCCATCAAGAGTTCTTAGCAGAAGTCAAGGATCCCCTTGGCACACATTTAAAAACACCACTGCACAGGAATTAGCAGCTGCCTTGGCTTTTATTTTCCTATTACGCATCATTGCCCACCAGTCATGTGAGTAATAGAGTTCAACACATTCCCCACCCCTGGAAGGGACAGCCCAGGGTGGAGTGTCACTGTTGGGCTTTAATTGGCAGCGAGAGGCCACAGCAGTGACAGGGCCCTGAAACTGGCTCAGGGAGCTCATCACACTTGTGAGCTGTTACAGAGAGCATCGGCAGCTGCTTGGGCTCAGGCCTTTCTTCAGTCAGCAGTACAAGTGTTTGGGCTTCCCTTAGCTCATGCTCAGAGTTCCTCCTGCTGGAGAACGTGGTGTCCAAGTACAGCTACCCCTGCATCCTGGACCTGAAGATGGGCACGCGGCAGCACGGGGACGACGCCTCGGAGGAGAAGAAGGCTCGGCACATCAAGAAGTGTGAGCAGAGCACCTCAGCGTCGCTGGGCGTCCGTGTCTGCGGCATGCAGGTATGGGCTGGAGCTGCCCCCACTGCTGGGGGTCCCTGAGCTCCTCCCCTTGGCAAGGAGCTGCTTCGGGCAGGGTGAAGGCTGGAGCGCTGGGAACAGCAAACAGCTATGTCTGGATTAGGGTAGGAATGAGGATAGGGATTAAAGTGGGATATGAATGTGACATATGAATGGATTAGGATATGATATGGAGCTGTGTCAGGGGAGGGTTAGGTTGGACATTAGGGAGAGGCTCTTCCCTAGTGGTGTTTGGGCACTGGGACAGGGTTAGGTTGGGTATCAGGACAAGGTTCTTCCCTAGAGGTGTTTGGGCACTGGAACAGGGTTAGGTTGGATATCAGGACAAGGTTCTTTCCCCAGAGGTGTTTGGGCACTGTACAGCTCCCCAGGGTAGTGCTCACAGCCTGACAGAGCTCCAGGAGTGTTGGGCCAATGCTCTCAGACACAGGGTGGATTGTTGGGGTGTCCTGGGCAGGAGTTGGACTCTGATCCCTGTGGGTCCTTCCAGCTCAGGATATTCCATGATCCCACAGTTCTATGGATTGCTGCTGCTTTCCCTGCAGGTTTACCAAGAGGACACTGGCCATTTCCTGTGCAAAGACAAGTACTATGGCAGGACACTCTCCCCCGAGGGGTTCAGGCAGACCCTGCGGCAGTTCCTGTGCAACGGGAACCACCTGCGGACGGATGTGCTGGAGCCCATCATCCTGCGCCTCAAGGCTCTGCTCTCTGTCATCAGGAAGCAAAGCTCCTACCGCTTCTACTCCAGCTCCCTCCTCATCATTTACGACGGGCAGGAGCCCAAGGAGAGCACAGCAGCCCTGGATCACCACCTGCCCTTCCCGCCGCCGCGCCGCGCCCTGCCGCGCGCCGCGAGTCCCTCCAGGGTGGACGTGCGGATGATTGACTTTGCCCACACCACTTTCCAGGGCTCCAAGAGCAATCCCATCCCACACGATGGGCCTGACCACGGCTATATCTTTGGCCTGGAGAATCTCATCAAAATCCTTCAGAATCTCTCGGAAGGAAAGTGAGAATTTCTGAGGAGTCACCTGGACCTTCCCGTGGCCCTGTGGACACTGCCCGGGGTCGGCTCTGTGGGCTCTGTGGGTGCCACAGAGCAGGATGAGCACAGACAGCTCGCTGGGAAAGTGCTGGAAATCCTACTGCCATTGCTGAACTGAAGCGTGAAAAGCACAGAGCTGGAAGAATCTGCTCTCCCTGCCATCCATCAGGAGATTTATTTCCCTTTCTGGCTTTACTGCTGTCCCTGATTTATTTGTGAGCCAAAAGAAAACATTACTTGGAAGAGTCTAAATGATAAAGCAGGACCTGCTCACCCTGATTCTCAGGGGTGAGTGGGCCTGTGGGTGTTTGGGGCAGGAGTGCACAGACTGTTCCTTTCAGCTGCTGCCCAAGAGACAACACCACACCTGAGGCTGGCACTGCCCAGAGCTGGGGCAGCTCGGGGCTCCCAGCAGGTGTGTGCACACACGAGGTGCTGCTGAGGCTCCAGGGGTGGGAGAAAACTCAGGCAGGAGCTGCTCCTGGCCAAGGTGTGACATCCCTGCAGGGCCAAAACGGGGCATGTTCCAGGACCTTTCTGAGCAAGGGGCTCTGCCAGGGCTGGAGTGTGATGGCCCTGTCAGGTGTCAGTCACAAAACACATCCACATCAAGGGATTTTTTTTCTAAAGAAAAGGAACACAAAGGAAAAAATAAAACAACAACCCTGGGAGGTTGAGTCAGGGACTGAAAGTGGAAGGTCACCCAGAGATTCTTTGATACAGACATTGTGTGTTGTGTTTGAAGGTGATAGCAAAAGACTCAAACTAATGTTTACAGCTTCTGTGGGCAGATTTTATTGTTGTTATGGAACAAATATGATTCCTTCCTGCGTGGTGTGGGAGACCTGAAGGAGAAGTCCTTGCACAAGGGATGGAGCTACAGAACCCCATTACTGGGGAGTGGGGATACAAATAAAACTGTCTGAGCTCACACCTGTTGTCCATCTCTCTCCCCTCCCACAGCATCCTTGAGGCACATCATCCTGTGCTTAGGGCTGTGTGGTGAATGGAATTGCTGTTTCCACAAGTTTAGGCTCCAGCTCCCAGGGGAGACCCTTCTCTGGGATTTACTGCAGGCACTGGTGAGCTGCTGTGATTTACAGCAGGAAAACTTAAGGCATCTGGCCCAGCTGTGTGTTTTACTTGGTCTGAAGTCTGCCTGGAAGACTTTGTTCACAGTGCTGTGCATTTCTTGCCCACAGCCTCGGATGGCTGTGGGAAAAGCCACAAACCTCATTTCAGTAGTGACTGAGCCACAGGTTGTCCTGGCTCTCCCCATGGTCTGTGATCAGAGCCAGTTGTGGCTGTGCTGAGGGGTTTGTTCAGAGCCCCCTGAGCATCCTGCTCAGCACCCAGTGACAGTGGGAGGGATGGAGAAGGGTCCCTTTCCCTTTTCCCCTCCCTTCCCTTTTCTCTTTCCTTTCCCCTTCTCCTTCCCCTTCTCTTTCCTCTTCCCTTCTCCTCCCCTTTCCCCTTCCTTTTCCCCTTCCCTTTCCCCCCTTTCCCTCCCCTTCTCCTTCCCCTTCTCTTTCCTCTTCCCTTCTCCTCCCCTTTCCCCTTCCTTTCCCCTCCCCTTTCCCCCTTCCTCTTCCTTTTCCCTTCCCCTTTCCCCTTTCCCTTTCCTTTTCCCTTCCCTTTCCTCTTCCCCCCTTTCCCTTCCTTTCCCCTTCCCCATCCTTTCCCCTTCCCTTTCTCTTCCTTTCCCTTTCCCCTTCCCCTTCTTTTCCCCTTCCCTTTCCCTTTCCCTTCCCCTTCCCTTTCCTTTCCCCTTTCCCTTCGCCCCCTTTTCCCTTCCTTTCCCCTTCCCTTTCCTCTTTCCCCCTATTCCCTTCCTGTCCCCCTTCCCCTTCCTTACCCTTTCCCCTTCCCCTTCTTTTTCCCTTTCCCTTTCCCACTCCCTTTTCCCTTCGTCTCCCTTTTCCCTCCTCCTTCCCCTCCCCTTTCCTCTCTCCCCTC